GTATGTTGTTCAGGAGGACCTACTGATGACGTTTACATAGGAAAAGTTTGTTCAGCAATTTGTTCCGGGTCAAATCGTGTTTCTCCCTGACTAATAATGTTTAACAACGTTGTCACAATATATCTAAGAAATATTTATTGAAACGTTTTTTAATAATGTTCCAGAAACATTTCTAAAAACGTTTTGAAAATATTGTCTAAAATATAATGTCAGGCAACATTGCTGAAACATTGCTTAAACGTTGCTGCTTTACTTTTACAAAGCAATATCATCAAAAATGTTGCCTTGCAACGTTGCGGCAACGTACACATTGCTCCCTTGCCGGGCGGGTGTAACGGATTCCTCATCAGATGAGCTAGTCTCACCTATGGGAGAGTTTCGTTAGAGAGGTTTTGATGGCTAAGGAACAATACCAGTTAACTTACAATTTTGGCAAAAGTGAGTTAGCGACACTGTTGCAACCTATGTTTGCTGTTTTTAGTTGTTGTAATATTGCTGTAAGTATAGTAAAAATTGCAAATCCAGCCTTAGTTACAAAACTGGCTAAGTTTTTTCTTCGACCTGTAAAATTTTCATTTTTCAGACAGGCAGTATTGTTCAACCATCGGAACGCAAAAATTTACCACCAAATAATAATTGCAGGCAGCATTCATTACTGAAGCAAATGAGCAAATTAAAATGGTTGGAAACCGACTTGTGAATAAGAGGTAACATTAGATCAGTAGCAACCTGCATAAAATTTAAAGTGTGCAAAAGTTTTGAATAGAAATCAATTCATATGAACATCATGGACAGATTTATCAAATACAGGAATAGTTTTTTATGAAAAAGATGCAATGAGCTGATTCATTTTTCTTTATTATTAACAACATTTAACAAAACAACAAGAATAAGAACAATGATGCAAGATAGATCAGTAGAAAATGAAATACTATTAAATAGAGATAACTTTTAAGCTAAACGTAGTATGTAATTACATACTCACACGTAAGTACTTCAGCACTTCAAATATATGTGTAAATGCCACGATAGGAATTTCTTGAATTAAAAATATAGGTTCACTTCCACAAGAGGGAACATTCACAAACATGTTTGCAAGAGAATAGAACAATTTTTATATATAATGAGTTACTTGAAAGAGTAATGTCAGGATAGAGTGATCTGAAAAATCAGTGCAATTTCGTTCCTAGGTTAGCCAATCCAACAGCTTACCTGGTATAGTCGTGTAAAGGTGAATCTTTAGCTTTTGCTTCAGAGCATTCTAAGCATGATCAATGTCTATCATTTTTGAACCTTTAGGTTAATTATTTTGGGAAAATGGAACTTCTGTAGATAAATCATTGAGGAACATTGGTGCTGAAAATCATCTTCCAAAGTCTTCAAACGAAGTCAAAAGTGCTGTTCCCGATTGACCATCAATATCAATACAATGGAATCCATTGCAAAGTGGAAATAGTACTTTTGACTTGGTTTTTATATTTTTAGAGATGATTTTCGGCTCCAACATTTCTCAATGATTGATTTTCAGACTGAAATTTCGATTTTTTCAGAATAATCCGTCAAAACGGTTAAAATTTGAAATATATCCATCAAATCCGGAATGCAACGTGCAAAAGCTCAAATACCAACTTAACAGGATGACGGCAGAAAGGCTGCCAAAAAAGATGCTTCATAGAATGCCTCCTGCTGGGAGGAGTCAAAGGGATGCCCAGTGAAAGGGGGCAGCAGAGGGTTTTACATGAAATGAGGGTGAGCCAACTTCCTGAAGGGCTGAAGGAGGACAGAATGCTGGGATGGTTAGGCATCGCAGAGCGCCAGGGAGCAGCGCTGTGAAAGCAACTCGTATGGGTGTATGTATGTATGTATGTATGTACATTGGAACATTAGTGGAAAGTCTTGTGAAGGTCCTGGATGGGACACTTAATTCCCATTAAACCAGAATTAACCTTTGAAGTTGTCTAATATCCTTTCAAATCGTACTTTTTCAACACGGAATCAAACGACATAATGCCTGGAAACCTTCTGTTTACGGCCCCTGGCTTATACAGAACATTCTCACAAAATTTAAATTTAAATATGAGAGGAAATCAGGCAACACATAATGCGATGAGGCTGATTCAGATCCATTAGGATTACATTTTGCATTAAGGAACCATTATTTCTGGCTCATCCATAAAAGCACCTATCCACATGAAGAAACCAATGACATGAAAGTTGTTTCTAAAATGAGCTAGAAATAGTGGATCCTTATTGCAAAATGTAGTCCATTTATAGCGTGAGAATGAAATTGCATTGACCAATCGAACTGTCCTGATAAAACAAAATTGAAGACCATAAAAAAATATCAAAGATTATTACAGAATGACCTTTTCTTGTCAATTTATATTCAATGAAAAACAGGGGAAACGAGGAGAAGTGTTCAATAATATAATTCACAACCATAATCAATATCAAAATGTTCCATGATAGCCTATATCCATTAAACTCTCTTAACGGAGTACAATATTATTAAACACGAGTCAATAAATACGTCGCAGTCAATAAATACGAAGATATTGAAATGCAGCATTGTGAGATCATACATGAATCAGTACAGTATGCATATTTTGCTCTGACATTGAGTAAAGTAGGTGCAATTGGAATTGAGCGTTGTATTTGACAATCTCACTCAGCATCATTATACTGGGGGAAACACAAAGAGTGAAATTATTTACTTAGGCTCCGTGTAATAATGGATGGCACAGAACAAAAAAAGAAAAGAAAAAAAATTCGAAAAATCCCACCGGATGCAAGAATAATTTGATCTTTTGCTTTCCATTCCATTAGAAATTTGGAAAGAATAAGCTACTTAACGATTGGCATGTCAAGTTCAGAGAATCATTTTGAAGAAGGTGAGATAAGAGATTACACCCTTCCAGAGACTTGCCACTTCCCTCCTCCTTGGGAAAATTCTTCTCTCATTGACTATTGAACATGAACCTGCAATTTAACTTATAAAAAAGTGGTATACTCGGTGCATATCAATACTCTTCACTCTTGAGTTCCACTTATGATTTTAGTTTTGCTGAAAATTGATTGTTACTTTCTCACTCCAAAATTCCAGTGAAAGCTGAGAAGTAAAATGACTTCACATTTAATTTCCTCTCAAAATAACTATGATAGACATGTTGGAGCAGCGAAGGCAGCAGTTAAAAGTCAAGTCTTTAGGTTCTCACAGTTGAATCATTTTACTTGAAGAAAGTACAGAGCATTTCTGAGAATATTGCTTTGAGATCATTTCCATACAAAGTATCTTATAGATAGGAAAACTCTAAAAAGTGAAGAACTCGTACCTCAAAACTCTTTTTTTTTCAAGACTGAAGACTTTACTTGATATTTGAATTGTTTGGGCACTTAAAATACTGTCAATAATGTTGCATTCTGAGGTCATTTCCTGATTTTCCATGAATGCACACGTTCTTTAATAGTCTCTGGAACACCATAGTTTATCTAGGAGGGACAAACATTTTGATTTGCAAGTTTCAAGCATTTACTTCCCAGTAAAACCATTTGTCCAACTTTGTTCAACATGTACTTCATGGTTTAACACCATGTGGACGTATTTCTACCAAACAGACCTATGTGAAAGTGAGAAATATGGGGTGTGCTCGTTCTTTCTCTCGCCGTAAGAGTGGATGAGAATAATAAAGCGCCAGTGACGTCAACGGAGGAGGACGCCGGCGTCACGTTCCTCGTGGTTGCGGTAGTCGTGGTCATTAACTCATGAGCCCTGTCCACAACGCTCTCTTGCCATGCCCGCGGCTCATGAATCCCGCATTCAGTTGCCACATAGGTCTGTTTGATAGAATGTAAAATCCCGCTTTTCCAATTCTTCAAAAGGAATCACGCCCACTTTAACATTGCTTCTTATGCAGCTTCGACGAGCACACCCCATATTTCTCACCTCCACATAGGTCTGTTTGGTAGAAATACGTCCATGTCATGTTGAACATCACTAGAAAGTACTTTGGAGAGGTACTAATTAGACCTGCCTTCACTGTTCAACGATTAGATTAAAGAATAAGTTTCTGCTCATACGAGACATAGAAAAAATAGAGAAGGTAGTGGATATGTTCATTTCTGTGTCAAAACAAACAATTAAAGGTATCATGGGAGGCTGCTGAAAATTGGAGCCATGTCAAGTGGTTCATATGGCGCCATTTTATTTGGTTGAGAGTAGCTTTTACATTTAAAGGAGGTAAAAAAATTCCTGAAATATTAGGTTGGTAATAACCATCTGAATTTCTTAACATAAGATTGTGGGTAAAATTGCTTACGCAATATTCTGCAAAAAAATCAGGAAGTTTTCAACCGGTTGGAATTAGTGGGACGAAGAGAAAAATTTATCTCTTCAATTCCAACTACCCATTCATTGACTAGATAAAATACTAATGATTTTGCATTTGCTGTTTTGGTAAGTCTTCTTGTAGTTGTAAGATATGTTCGACAGCTTGTGGACGTCCATCTTCACCGATGCGACATGGTTGTATTACTCCCTCTCTGAAAAAAAAACAGGTTTCAGTTAGCTTAGGATGTAACTTGACTGCCTAAGTACCCAAACATGACTTTCTTTTAAGGTCCATCTTTAAAATAGAATTAATTCAGATTAATCTTAGTTGTATTTTATGGAGGAGGTTGTAAAGTTTGCTGGGGAAATAACAGAAACTCCTCGTTTTATTCTGAGGCTGGGCGAATATGGTTTTTGGCCTTGAATAGAATCGAATTAAAAAAAGAAGTTCAAATATCAAATCAAATATTTTTACCTACATACTATTTCTACTGAGAAACACCTCTTAATAATCCAACGCAAAGCAAATAATTTTGATGTTGTTTTAATTGATACAGTAAATAATTTCTCTTTACGTTTTATCTTGTGGTTCTATACACTTCATTTAAATTTGGGCACTGAAAGGGTAGAAATGAATTTGTTACTGCATTTATTACTGCCCAATGAGTTGATTCCAGAAAATTTTAATATGTTGACTGATTGTCACATGAAACTTCAAGGAACAAACAAGTCCAAAAATGCTTCCACTCTCATCCTGCTCAGTGATCAGTTAAGGAAACTATTTTACTTGATTAAGTATTTAAGTAAGATGGAAAAGTACCTGGTCAATTTGTCCATCATACTGACTAATTGCATGGCTTCGAATTCTTTTTGCTCCTCTGACATTCCTGCCAATGGGTTTGGTCTTTTTGGTTCTACATACCCGGTTACCGGATTGATACTGAAAGGTCACAAAGATAGGATTAGTAAATTTTTTTTAATTAAGTATTAGGAGCTACATGAATCATGAAGGGCTCCCCAAAGATTAAGACTCCCTTTGCTATTTATAAAAAACTATAGAGCTACTGCCATAAAGAACCTATTGAAGTGTTTCTGGAGGAACATAATATTTTTAAATCTTTCTGAGCAAAGTTGTTAGAGAATGGGTGGCAAACGGCCAAAATTTTCACAACAAATTTTGTTCTACGTTGCGCAGCTTTGACTTCAATTTTTGCAGATATGGCTAAAGTTATGATTATGAAAGATCCTAACACCATGTCATACATTACAATCTATCTCATTCAAATCTATAAGACAATGGTCTTTTCTTAAAAGTGTCAGACATTGTTGCAGCAATAAAATTTAGGCCCCATACTGCCGTGCTGAAGAAAAAAACCGTAAGAACATTAAGGATTATCAAATCCCCCCCCCAATAAAATGTTAATTTTTGAAGATCGATATGAATAATTTTCCTTGGAATTTCCAGATAATTGGATGGTCTTGAATAAAATTATCAAAAAAATTTGAGAAAAGTATGCATAAATTTCTCTCAAAATCTATATTTTATCAAACGAAATTGACAATGTTTGAAGGCTCATATGGTGTTCTACCTTAGCACGGCAGTAAAATTGTTTAAAGCAAAATGAGCATCTATGAATCAATCTGAAGACCTGTGCTATCTTATACTGCTGAAACCCAAGCTGAAAAAAAGCAAATAAAACAGCACTTCTGGGTTGTGGAGTGGCTATAGCCAGAGGCAACAAGGCAACCTGGAAAATCACCTTTTAAATGAGCATTAATCTATCTTTCATCTTCAGAAGATTTTTAATATTCCTTATAGGAGGTTAGATGAACAGGGCTTCGGGACCTAGTCATAACAGTAGAAACAGAAGAGAAACGTGTTCTAACTTACTCTTTTTTGCTTTGTTCATACTCTTCGGTTTCGCTGTTTTCACTATCAGAGGAGTTATTGGAATTCTTGTGAGTATTCAGCAAGAGGCCTCGATTAGCAAATAAGCCAGCTGCATTCCCAAAACCAGTATATTTGATCATCCTCTCAACTAAAACAAAAAGACAAAAGTTTCCCTACACTAAAAAACAACAACTACCAAAAAAGATCTACGAGGGGGAAAATTTTTTTGCAAGAGATAGTCTTCGATAGGATTTGATTTATGCTATAAAACCTGTGGGAATGAAAACATTGGTTAAAATACTTTCCATATTTTAATGAATATTTAGAGATGTGGGAAGAAAAGAAATTTGATAGAAAAAAGGATAAAAAAACCAATAAAATGTCATATTAAGTGGGCTAGCTGCGAAAAAAAATGATACATACCTTACTTACAACTTTGATCAACATTCTTTATTTAAGGGCATGACAACTCTTAACTTGTACATTTAACACATAAAATGTAAAAGTGAACTATTGTTGAGTAAAAACGCATATTTATATGCAGAAAGATCTGGCAATTTTTCTTACCATTTTCTTTACACAAGGCAAAAAGGAATTCGGCAACCAAGTCTTTCAAATGAGAGTGGGGGCTAGTGAGCAGACTACAAAGTTTGTTTCGAAGGGTGTTGCCTTCTTCTGGACGGGTATGAGTATCACGCAAGGGTGGAAGAACGATTTGACGAACATACTTTCGCACTTCTCGACTAGATCTAGAACACTCTAATAGAACAGTAATGGCAGGCATGATGCTTTCCGTCAGCGATCCCTAAAACAGCACAAAAGGAAGAGTTACAAAACGACAATCAGAGAAATTCGGTTGGACTAGGATGAACTACTAAAAATCAGTACTTTTACGGTACTTCTTCAATACATTCCCAAGGAATACAATACCTCCTCAATAGAGATATTCAGTACTTTTTCAGTATCCTAATTTGATGAAATTCGAAAAATTTCAAAAATTTGAATTTCTCTCTCAAATTCCGACAAAAATTCCAGACTTTCTTGTGGAATTTCCGCACTTTTTCAGTACTTCCGGACCACTCTTAGAAAATCAGTACTATTCCTGGACTTGTAGACACCCTGCATATATTTGCCGAGAGAGAGAGATGTTTAAAATAGTTAGAATAGAAGCAGGCAATTTCAGAAATTCTGCATCAAGGATAGAGGATTGGCATGGATGAACTGACTTAAATAAAAGAAGGATTTTCTGATCATGGCTCAGAGTTGATTTCCTTGATACAAAATTTGTGGTCCATGCACACAAAGCTCAATCATTTTCAAGCAGGACAAGCTGCAATGTCCAAACTCAGTCCTGCATTCACTGTAGTGAGAGAGCGCAGGGCCGCCTTATGTGATTGCCCTGTTCCGAAGTTCTTGATGTCCACAATGCACTACCTACCAGCCCACTGAGCTTGAACTTACTATTATTGACCTAGAGAGTGTGCTATTCTTGCTACGGTCTAGACATTATCTAATGTGTATATTGTTTTTGTATGCAAAGTTGCAGGGATTTCAGCTCGAGTTCATGGAAGCTGATATGTTTAAAGTGTATTTTTTACCACAAAAGATTTCAAAATTGATAAAAATATTTGACGTAGAAATTTTCTTACATTATTTTGACAATTTGCGGAAGAATCTTTGACATTTGAATAAAGATCTTTATATTAATTCCACAAATTTTGTAGTTTTGGCGTGAATATGTTCGATCAAAAAAATCTACCAGATGAGGACAGAGTTTTTTGATTTGCCTAATCTCTACCTTTTTCAGGTATTTTCAGCAAGAAAAATAAGAAATCTACATAGCTCAGACCAAATAATCCACAAGGACGAAGATTCATGATAAACTATACATACCTGTTTTTGATCCAGACGATTATCAAGAAAATTCAAAATGACAGCAATGGCATCCATGTTTGGTGCTTGTGAATTATCAATGACTACGAGATGTTTCAGAACAGACCCAGACAAATTAGTTAAAAGGTTGATGATATTGCTGGATTGAAACAAAGGAAAGCAATAAATGCGGTCAAAAAAAGTATTTCAACAACAATAATAGCGGTTCTACACATATACGATTTGAGTAGCGTGTTGGTAATTTGAGGGGCTTGGAGGATAAGGCGCATGAGTGCAGTTTTTGCTACTTCGAGAAATATGTGCTTGAAGTTTTGAAATTACATGGATCCTTTCGGCAGAGAGAAAGTTCAAACAGACTTTTTGCTGCTTAAAAATTAGGATGTGGGAGCATATTTTCCACGAAATATGCATTTAGACTAGTTTTACTTTGAAGTATTGATGTCTCAATATTTCAAAAACTGTGCTTATTAGCCTTGTCCTCCAAGTCCCTCAAATCACAAATATGTGTTCAAAATTCAATGTAAAACTGAAGTCTCATAATAGAGAGAAAATACGTGAAACCAATATAAAAGTTTTACATTTTGTTAAATCGACAATTTTTTTGAAAACGGGTCTTTGGATGAAAAAGACTTTAGTATCAGAGGAAATGACCTACATTTTTAGACATGCCATAGAGATCTTTCGTGTGAGAGAGGGTGAGTGTGTGTGTGTGTGTAATCATCATTTTATTTGTTAAAACCAAAAATTGGCTCACTTTTTGTCTCATCAAGGGGCAGTTTTTCAAAAAATCAAATTTCCCTAAGAAAGATCTATTTCATTAGAAGAATTCAAATTTTACAGAAATTCCTGATGTAGTGGTGTTTTTGAGCAATTTTTCCAGGCAGAACACTTGAAAATTCTGAGGAATCAATTTGGTCACTTCTAGAGATATAACAAAACTCAAAATTTGTTCTCGCTGCGTTATCCACTATTGTAAGCATTGAGAAAGTATTCAGGTACAATTAACAATGACATTTTCATACAACAAATAAAAGGCATGTACGTTTACCTGTAAAAACTATCTAGGAATGACAAAGGTAAGGTGGTGCAAAGGAGATACTCTCTAAGAATTTCCACAAGACGTAAACTGAGAGAGTCATCCTCATCCTCTGGCCGGAGGTTTCCTCGAACAGTTAGATTAAATAACACTTTCAAAACTTCGCAGGACAATAAAACTTGCTCCTCCTGAAAATAGCATAATTTAGAGTTATTAGAGAGGGATGAGTATTAGAAAAACAGAGTTGCTTAGCAATAATAATAAAATAACGATTATCATGAAAGTCATTGTTGCTCCCGAAAAGCCAAATCTTTCCTTTGCTAAGCAGCACAGTGCAAGAACTTTAACTTTGCACATAGTACAAAGAAATATGGCGCTGCACTAGCTAAATTTCAATATTATTTAATATGATGTTCCTTACAACCTCCTGAGCTTGAAAAGATCTTTTAGGAAACTTTTTACATCCTAATCTTGAAAAAAGTGGGGCTGAAAACGGAATATTTTAGCCTTCTCACAAATTTTCTAATTAGGATGTGAGACTATTGTCTTGGCAGCAAGGTAACAATAGATCTCTTCAATCACCAATAAGATGCTTTAAGAAATATGCTAAAATAATTAACTACACTCACATGAAGAACTATACCCATTGGACCACCAGTAGTTCCTTGCTTCAAAATTAAATCTAGAATTTCCATTAAGTATATCAGACCATGAAGATTGTCCCTTACTCTTGGCCTGAAAAAGAATATGAAAGCACTGATATTACAAATAAACAAATTTTATTCATATTTCTTGTACATAAAGTGAAAATAAATTATCTGTAAAGATCATGCTAGAACTGAAACTTTGTAAATGAAATTCTTGGCGTTCAAGCAAAAGTTAAATATATAACTACGAGTTAAAGTTGGTCGAAAATATATATTAAAGTTCTCCTTTTTTACAGCAATTCTCGAAACGAGGTTGTATCCTTTCAGTTAATTAATTGTAATTATTTTTTCATACTTTTTTAAGAGCACAACTTTAATTTGTGGCCTTGTCTTTTTTTTTTTTACTCCTTCCTAACGATGTGCATAGAGTGCGCTACGATGAACATTTCCTTTTGTCTCTTGATATTTTGGTTCAAAGACATTCTCCCTGGGTCCCTTTCACATCATAAGACTATTGCAATGTTCTGTTATGCTACGTTAAAAACGATACATGCCTGATATCTGGAGAGAGCGCAGTGAGTAAAAACAGAACTTTCATGTCAAAAAATTTGACCATGTGCGGTAACTGGTGATCCGAGTAGAGACGCAAGCGTTGAATGATGCCATCTGCAGTTCCATTTTTACAACAAATTGCTTGAGCTTGAGGACTTTGGAAGAGAAGATTTGACAAGACTTTCAGAGACTCTATGACAACTGGAACAAATACAAAATGATAAGGTAAAGATGAACCGAAGGACTATGAAAGTGGTGTGTACCGGAAACTGGGAGATGTTTGCAACCACTGTAAATGAAAAGATAATCTCTACTTGTTGAGGAGAAAAAAATCTTATTTCTTGGCTTTGATAAGGAACGAATGATTGACACTTCAGCCTATCAATTACACTGGGAACCGATGGAACTTTCCTCCCGTCAGTGCTGATGGCCATTTTGGCTGATATAATACAGCAAGAATGAAAAACGCCAGTAAATTTCAAACAGCATAAATTTTACTCCTACTCTAACTTTTTCAATGCATAAAACCTGGCAGTGAATTCTTATCATCCAACTATCCAGCTCCAAACTTCATTAACTCTCTCTTAAGTTTATTCGTGAATACATTCAGTTCCGATCTCTCCAAATTCGCAAATTCAAAGTTCACGCCTGGGTATACTCAGCGCTGGAGTGATTTTGATTGGAAATGAAATGGACTGAAATGAGTCAATATTGATTACCTGCAAAATCATTATATGCTGCTGCTTCCATATGGTTTTCACTGGTTCTAAGACCTGCTTTCAGTAAGAGTGTTTCTATCCATTGACTATTCATCAAGGAATCCAGGTTACATTTGTCGCGGCTGTAACACAGAAAGGCAACACCAATGGAATTAAATTTTGAGTAATAAATTTAACAGCACTGAGGATATTGAGCTCCTGATCTGACTTACTTTCAAAACTTAAATAAAAAGCAAAGTAGCTTCCTTCAAACTTGGCATGAATGTTGCTTACATCAATTTGGGCCACAAAAATCACCCCCAATAGTGGACAGAACCTCCTTTTATCCCTTCTACAATGGCTTTTAGATGCCTTCTCATGGAATGGTCAGGGTTTTTTCATTTGGGCACATTAAATAGTCAAACCATGTATTTCTACCAATAGGCCTGTCCACTACTTAAACCAATACAATTTTTTTAGAAATTTTGATCACTTAAAAATTCATCTTAAAATGCTTCAAATTTTTGATAACATGGTCAGAACAAAGCCACTTGATTTTCCTACATGACCGAAATAATCTGTATGTTGCCTTTTGACATTTGAACTAGAACAACTACCTATTATATTCCCAGCTTTAGTAGATGCCTTTAGTTGATCACATTTTTTTCAACCTACTCTTGTACATTCGTAAGTATTATTACACAAAGTGTAGGTCAGTGTTACCAAGTGCTCTTGCAATAGGAAGTTTCTATTTGAATGTTGCATCTTTTACTTGTCTTTTCAGTTTGTAAAATATTTTTTAGAAACTTAATGGGCCTGTTGCAAACTTTTGCTAGACCACGAATAAGAGTTGTTCCTTACGGATAATGTCTCAAAAATCATGATGAGCGCATCGGCAAACTCTAAAATTCACTCCTAACCTCACCATCTGCGTAAGAAATTTGCATTTTTTAAAGTCTCCCGCTTCAAAAAAGATACTACAGCACAGGTGAACATTTCGTTAGAGGAGTCGTTCCATTCAATCCCTGCTCAACATGGCCGACGCTTCCGCACGCAAGTTGAGGAGAGCATGGGGTCAATCAAGGCGGATATCGACCAACGCAAGAAAAATGTGAATGTAAACACGCAGATTGGTATTAGGCAGCTAGAATCATCATCCTGTCACATGTGTTTTGGCGGATTGGCGTCGGCTATGTTGAATATTGAGTGGTATCCTTGTGAGTAGGGGTTGGATGGAATGACTCCTCTAACGAAATGTTCACCTGTGCTGTGGTATTGTTTTTGAGGCGGGAAGCTCGAAAAAACGCAAATTTCTTATGCAAATTGTGAAGTAAGCAGTGCATTTCAGACTTTGCTGATGATCATGATTTTTGAGACACTTTCTATGAGTAAGAACTCTTATTTTTGCTCTAGTAAAATTTTGCAACAGGCCCATTTGGAGGAATAAAAACATTATTTGCGATTAATGATTAAACATGAAGGTTTCCTTACCTACAGCTCTCTTTTGGTGCAAGTCTAAGCTTTGTAAGAAAAGCTTTCTAAGGATCGTATAAAACTTGTATTGCTTACCTGAGAATCCGCAAACATGCAAGACAATCTTCATGGCAGTCACCAAGAGATGGATTATTCAGGTGTTTAAATAGTATGCTCCATAACTTCTTTCGTCTGTCATCTTGATTCAATTCGGAAAAGGAAAAAGTTTGAGCATGCTGAAACACGTAAGAAAATTCAAATTGGTGAAGAGTGCTGTTGAAATTAGTTGCTTAAGAAGGGAGCTTTCAATTCATGTATGTTGAGATAAGAGTCGCTACTTAGATTACGGCTTCATTATGTATGCTGAGATTAGGAATGCTCTGAACCAAAACTGTGTTGTGAGGGATACTTATTGTCCAAATTATGCTAAAGTATGAAAAAATATTGATTCATTGAACGTTATATTGGGTTTCAAAAACTAGACTACAAAAAGTTCAATAGCCTCACGGTGATAAGAGATATTGAAAAACAATTTTTAGGTATAAAAGAGAATACTCAAGATATGTTTGTGTCCTTAATGGACCTCTAGACAGGGTACCTACAAAATTAAGCATCACAATATATATTTCTGCAATAAAATTTTATAAAAGATAAAATAGACGTATTCAAAACTTCTCAATCCCACTCTTAAGCTAAAAAATAGCAGTTTTTATCCACATTCATTTAGCTCACAAAAACACTAGAGCCTATTTGAGTCTAATGCTGCAGTGTGCAAATTGGTAGGGTATGATTCAGCATCATTTTGGAATTAACTTATAAAAACTCTTGACTATCATAGTAATTATGCATGTTAGGAGATATACTGCACTTGGTTCAGAGCGTAGAGCCAATTCCTACTTAGCATTCCTGGCCATTGGAGAATAAGCGTGAGAGTGTGTGGGTAATATCCCCCAAGAACAAAGGGAAGCCGCCGGGCTACGTTTGGCGGGTTGCATCTTTTCACTCCTTTCCTGCCCTAATTCCATACAGTGACATACATTTGATAATTTTTTCCTTCATTTAAAATGTGATTCTGTCGAAAAAATTTGTTTCTTTCGATAAAACTTGCCATAATACTTATTCAACTGAAAATTCCACGCCCGGAATAAATTCACTTTCTAAAGTAAAAAAATCAACTATTTTCAAGTCCTCCCTATACAATCCCGTGTGTTCTCGGGGTTTACGAACATTTAACCTCAAACCCATGACCAGGTATGGGTAGATGGTTGGTAGAGCGCACAGATGCTTCTGCTAAACCATGCTGAAAGTAGGTCAAATAAGGTGGTATTAACTCAGTCAATCAAAAGTTTCCACACACTTACCAGTCCCATATCGAAATTATAATCAGATGTCCTACAAATCAATACACAAGAGAAATTGAAGGACGGAAAAAATTCCTATACATCTATTATCGAAGTAGTCACCGTACATTACCTTCAGAGCAGCATAAAAATTGTAACCAATACAAGAGAACTGCTTCATTAGCATTTTGCTTTGGGTAAACACTAACAAGTGCCTAGTAGAGAGATTTAAATGATTCCTCACGGACTGTGAGGTAAAATGTTGATGAGTTTTTCGACCTCTCAAGCCTGTAATCAGTAGATGACAGTCGTTTAAAAGAGTATTGAATTGCCTCAGGTTAAGATTATCTGCTAATGGTACAAGAATGAAATGTATCGGCACTTTTAGCAACAGGTGCACTTACCCGTTGTAAAAAGAAATGAAGAATAGATTTGATGTCGCTCAGATTTCCTGACTCTAATCTTGTCAATGTAGCACTATCCATGATTGACCGTGCAACTTGAAGACATCAATCGGACACAGGTGGAACTGAAGCAGAAACTGAAAAGCACACCAAATAAAGTCCGTGTTGAAGCACTTAAAAACTACATAATTGTATTAAACTCGAGGATTTCCTTCGTTTTTTATGAGGAGTTTAATCCAATGTTTTCATAACTAGCAACCTGAGTAATGGTATTGGATGAAAACACACCTTCCTTTGAAGACCGAACCACTGTAAACAATTCCAGCTATACTGATTCTAGCTAATTGATTTAATAAGTAGAAAGTCGATTACGCTCAGAAATAAATAAAGGGCACGATGGTACGGATATCATCGAGATTGAATAAAATGTAAATTTTCTATGAAGTGTTAAGCACTAAAAAGTCTAGATTTAGATAAGATAGAATTCGATTCGATTAGATTAGATAGATAAAATGCATAATAACAAACATAAGTGTCGCCATCTGCAGGCCACCATCTTCATTTCAACTCAGCACCAATCACCGATCGACTTCTTGCGCTTGCGCAGATCTCGCAGATATGATATGACAGGGTTTTGATAAGTACATATTGCATTGCATGCAATTTGCCCGCTTATCTTATGAGTATGACTCATTCGCAATCGCAAATTCGCTACTTCGCCTACTTCGCACTTGATTTCTGAATTTGCTACTTGCTTGCATCAGATTGCTCAAGTTCAAGTTCTGGTCTGGAGGTGAGTGAGTGGACTTATCCATCCTTAATTCTTATTCATATTCCGTATTCATCTGTTCATGTTTTATTTATATCTGTAATTAAGTCAACATTTTTAATTGTAATTATTTGACTGTACCTATAAGCAAACCTTATCTATCAACCCTTATTTCATTTCACAGACCTGGAGTTCCCAGTGCCTGGAAGGAGGCTGTTAGCTTTGCTTAGGTAGTTTGTCCTCGTAAAGTGTTCCTTATGTTGCTCTCATAAGTACTTAGTTTATTACTTAAGTCTGGACATCCTGATTTATTCACTTCCCTAAGGTGATCCGTGAAGCTCAAGTGAAGTCGCTGAAGTGTTATGTGACGTATCGCATCGATGAGGTAAAAAATTTTGGCAGATTTTGAATTTTTAGCCCAAGAAAGGACGATAGCCCCTGCTTATAGCCTTAAGAATCATTCTAAACCCGAAAGTCTGCAAAAATCAGAGGAACAAAAGCACCATAGTGTTGGGAAAGAAACCTCGCATTTGATACAGAAATCCACAGCTGAGTCGAATGTGAGGTTCTTTTTCTAACACTATTCTACTTTCATTTCTCTGAATTTTGCCAATTTTTGGGTTTAGAATGATTCTGTAGGCTAATGTGCAGGGGCCACCATCTTTTTCTGCTTCAAATTCTGAATCTGCTGAGATTTTTTACCCACCGATATGATATATCGCATGCCACTTTGACCACGTCACTTGACCTTGACGAATCTCCTTAAATCTAAGTCAACTCCCAATATATGTGAAGTTTGTGGGTCCATAGGTGGTCAGTGCTGCTTAATTTTACCATTGCATCTCATGGGGTGTAAGTGTCCTGATCGAAAGCAAAACTAGGTTTAGGTACCTATATTTTGCCAGGAAAAAAAAATCAAGAAAGCTTCCCAATTAGGTACATTACTTTCCTCACGTGTAATAAACGAACAAACGTCCTCACCTCTCCCTTATTAGGCATTTGCTGCACTCCTGCATTAGGAATTTTAAACACTGAAACTTGCAGGTGCAGGCAGCCAACCTAAGTATGTAGTTACTTATAGGTATTTTCTTTTCAATTCAAAAGTAACCTGCATTGTCACTCATGTCAATTTGTCCTTCTGTTTTAGCAAAACTCTTGGACAGCTAGAAATCGATAATTAAGTATTACATCACTATCTCATCAAACCATGGGAAAGAAGAAAGGTGAGCATTTTAGTCTATCATTATGACTTTATCTTGGAATTGTTTTGAGAATTGTGAAAATTATTCATTAAGTACGTTTACCTATGGCCGTTTTTGAGTTTTAACTAAAAGCACAATCTAAGAAGTAAGTAAGGTCTACTAGCTGTAGATTTCATTGAAATTCTTGATGCCAGAAAAACATCAATTTTACTGTCGTACCTATTCTGAATACTTTTAAGTCTCAGCTTCAATTGAAGCCCTCATTTTTAAAATTTAGACCACAAGAATTCTTGGGAGAGCAATTTTCCGTCATCCTTATTGCCAGATCTGAGTGCTCCCAAACTGCTTGGAAAAAGTATGATAACCCTCTAAGCTTGAGCATACAAGCACCTTGTTGTACGAAGCCCTCCATTACTTCATTGTGCAACAAAACAAAATTCCAGATTTCTCATCATTGTTTCCTGTTTTTGGATGATGACAAAATGCTTCATATTTGGCACAACTTTGTGGAAAGTAAAATCGCACAACATTTTGTGCAATATTAATGCGTTGTCATCATCCAAGAAAGAAAACAGTGATGGCCAAGTGGAATTTTGTAGAACAGTTTACAAGATCTCCAGTTTCATCATCAGTACTTATGTTCGACTTTACTTAATTTCTGACATTACGAATGAACTACAATTAAGTAATTACTGATCTCTAACACCTGTGGCTATTTCAATGTCTTGCAGGGAAGAAAAGTGAAAGCGGGCCTGAAGCAGGGCAAGCCGTCAGTGGTCCGTCTGGCCAACCTGATAAGAAGCCTTTCTCTCTCTCCAGTGAGTAAGCTCTTCTAGTTTCAACACATTGGTGGCGAAGGCTTTTTTGGCCGAAACGACTATGATATGGAAGCATTGTCAGGCATTGTACTTGACAGTGTCCACAGATTAAATTCCCACTCATTTTTTACCTCAAGTCAGAAATCACGCAACAGTTACAATTGAAAATAAGTACCAAACACTTTTTTGAGACTTCGTGTGGGAAGTATTAACAGATAGATTAATTCACTGCTTAGATTTAATTGTCAGTGGCTAGCACCTGATGCCTCCCACAATTAACATGTTCCTTTTCAATGTGCTTTTGCAAAATTTTGGTCATCAGGCTGAAAAACACGAAAAAAACGGTGATAGTAGAATGCCTCAAACATAGCCTGGTAGGTTCCTGATTCAGGTCAGATGGAAGACACCTCTTGCCCTTTCATGGCTAATTTTGTTAATGGAATTCTGGTGTTAATGCTGTAACTTTCAAAACGCTTTGAAAAATTACCAGATAAAGTTGAATATAATTAGTTGGAAGTATAACTGGAATAATTACCGGAATAAAATATTACAGAAAAAAGAGACTCATCCTTATGGGTACACCGAAAAATAAGTGAAGTTGATTTAACATCCTGGATGTTACAAAAGTGTGCGAGAACTTATAAAATACTGAATTAACTGCCATAGCAGTTATTTTTACATCTTGGCATTGCTAAAGTAACTTCTGTGGCGGGAAATGCAGCATTTTGTAAGTTCTTGCACTCTTTTTATACATCTAAAATGTTAAATCAACGTCACTTTTTTTTCGGTGTAATTTTGATGGTTGTATGCTCTTTTAAAGGTGCTGGCGAAGGTTCGTCTTCAAGCATTGCACATGAAGAGTTGCCTGGAGGCACCTTGCAGAAGAAAGTTTCGGACCTGAGGGTGTCGGATACCCCGCCCGTAAAAGGCACTGTTTTGCAGAGCCAACCAAAACATCAACATCCAAAAAGGACAGGTATTCAATCTATTTAATCAAATTTTAATTTCAGTATTTATTGAAGTTCATTATTTCTTCTACCTGGCATCATGTTTCGGTTGAAGTTTAAGTCTTGAATCAATTTCCCCTCTTAATGTTCATCGTTGAAATTGTCAAGTCCTCTTTTGTTTTATTCCTTGATTTGGAGAAGAAAAAGTAAGCAGGGAAAGATAATTACAAGGAGAAACTACTTTGCTCTTCTGTAATTATTCTGGTCTGTGGCCCTCATCTAAGCACTAAACAAACAATCAAAACTTGAACTGCAACTTGCATGACAATGGTGACTCCCAGAACTAAGATGCAGTTATAACTTTTAACCAGGATCAATATATATGATTGCTCTACAGTTGGAAAATAGGATATTGGTGTTAACTTAAAATCATACAAGAAGTGTACAGAGTCCTTTTACAAATATGACCCATTATTGGCCAGAAGATAACTAAAACAAGGGGAGGACAGATATGATTTTTATAAAAAATTGAGAATACACTTAGGGATTTAAAATAAATTAATATCAATAAATAATGTTATAGGATTTCAACAAGGACAACAACATCCGCAAGGACGGATAGACATACAGCGTCCTCAATCCAGTCAGCAACCGTGGAGACATCAGTCTCGTCAAGAGCCTCAAAGCCAGCATAGTTCACAAGAAACTCAAGGTGGACAGCCGCCGAGAAAGCAATTTCATCAGAAAAATCAACAGCAAATCAGGAGTCCGCCTCCCAATCAGCCTGGTTCCCATCATCCTGCCAGTAGCGGTGTGCCTTCTTGGGAATTCCAGCAGAGTCAGGTACCTCAAACCGCACCTCTAGCTCAAGTCTCCCCTTGGGGTCAACCTTGGAAAAAGATTGTGGAAAATCAACAAGCTGGACCGGTTTCTCAAACCGCACCTCAAGCTCAAGTCTCGGCTTGGGCTCAACCTCGAAAAAATACTGGGAAAAGTCAACAAGCTGGACCGGCTCCTCAAACACCTTCCTCTCAGTCAGGTATTTTGTAGAATTTTTCGCACTTTCATATAAATCATTACCTACAGCTACTGAGTCGCTCATAATCTGTTCATTAAAGATAATGCAAATTATTTCATTAAGCTGAAGCTTTTTGATCCTATCAGATCATCATTTTGGCAGAAAATAATACAAATATACCACTATCCGTCGCAAAAATACCTTTATACTCCATACCATATTTTTCATTTATCCTTCATACACATACCTACTGCTCTATTACCCAAAAACTTGATCACCTTAATGATTCATTTTTTCAAGTTTAATTTCTTGTGATGTATTGCAGTTACCTACTCTAAAAATGTAAAGGATGAATGTTTGTTAATTTTTTTGTAATATGGCATGGTGTTAGGAGAAAACTGAAAACTTTTCTTGCTTCAGGTGGCAAGTAGTGTAATATTCGACATTGCTATACTTACATAACTCTAATTTTATTAAAACCAGGAACTAACCACGTAGCAAGCAAGAAATAAAACATAAGAGTTAGAAGTTACATCCATACTATAGCTAATCCCTAGCAAAACGCAAAATCCCTCTCAAAGCGCTTAGTGCTTCATCATCAGCATTTTTGGTTTGTGAATCAAGAGTGGCTTTATCAACAAAAATAGAAAAAATAGCTGTGCGAAAAAAGTGGATGGTTGAAATTTTAATGAATTAAATCAGAATAAAATCTCAGTCTATCTCAGTTTCATCAACTTGCTTCGTTGTTGCTCGACAAAGCTTAAAAAATCAGCACCCCCCCCCCCCCCCTACCGGTTAAACTCCTGTAACATTGGCTATCTAGCTTGCTACGCTTCTCTATTTGTATCCTGGGGTCGGATTCCAAAGTTGGATTTTAAGTTTTTTAATTCCGCTTCCAAAAACTTTCTGACGTCCTTAGGTATGAGTGAGGTCCAGTCAAAATAATTTTGTTCGCTACTAAAGAGTGTTATCTTTTATTATGAATCTTAATTTTTCCTCACCAACTATAATGCAATTTTCTTTTTCTAGGAAAAACTCGAGAAACAAAAGGGGCAATTCCTAAGCAGGATGTGAAGGATAGAACCCAATCATTCACTATACCTGTGAGAGACCCCAAGCAGGAATTCAAGAAGGGCAATTTGAAAATACTTGATGTCAACCTGTTACCTTTAAATCTTGATAAGTTATGCGAGTGGATCTTTCATTATGACATTGCAACAGATCCAGAGCGGCCTAAAAGGTTGCTTAGGGAAGTCGTTGATAAATTCATCCAAAAACACTTCCCTACTTTCAGACCTGCTTTTGATGGCAAGAAAAATTTGTACACATCCAAACCACTACCTTTTCCAGAGAATAGGAATGTGCTCGAGGATACAATTTCTGTGACTAACCGGGAAAAACTTTTTAATAATGTTATAGAATTTCGTGTTGCCATCAAGTTGGCACAGAAGATCAACACGAGTGAAATCGAGAAGTTCTTGAACTCGAGAGGAACGCAAAGTAATGTAGCTTTACCCCAGTCAGCCATCCAAGCGATTGATGTAATTCTAAGATCAGCTCCCTTGGCTTCCCTCTCTCTTCCCATTGTTCCAGTGGGCAGAAACTTTTTCATTGAAGACAGACCAAGAATTGTCTCCCTCGGGGGAGGCCTTGAGTTGTGGAATGGCTTTTACCAGTCGGCAATATTGAATTGGAAACCTTTTTTGAATATCGATGTTGCTCACAAAGGTTTCCCTGAGCCTAAACCCTTAATTGAACTTTATCAAGAAGTTTGTGGCATTCAAAGTCTGGATCAGACTCCTTATCCGATTCAGAAAGATCGATTCAGAGGTTTTGTCACAACACTGAAAATTGACTACTCTTTGCCTAATAATTCTTCATCTAAAAGAACACATAGAATCATTGGCATCGGAAAATGCACAAGGGATCTTAATAAATTCAAACCTAAAGGTTGTGACCGTGAGATCTCGGTGGATGAGTATTTCAGAACTTTTAAGAACTACAAAATTAAATATCCAAATTTACCAACAGTGCAAGTGGACCCAGCGACCGAGAATATTTATCTTCCCATGGAATTGTGCTTCTTGAAAAGTGGCCAAGTTTTGCATCGGAAATTAGATGAAAAGCAAACTGCGGTGATGGTCAGAAAAGCAGCTCAACCTCCAGAGGTGAGGAAGGAGAAAATATTGAGAGCTATCCAAATGGCAAAGTACAATCAGAGTCCTGTTGTGAAAGATTTCGGGATTGAAGTCAATGAGACAATGGCATCAGTTGACGCAAGAATCTTGGAGACCCCCTCCGTGGAGTATGCAAAACCAAAACAAATTATACCAAGATTAGGAGTCTGGAATGCTGGAGAGTTTTTGAGGTCCCAAGCACTTTCAAATTGGTTCATTTTAAACTTGGATGCCTCTGGCCGATTTCCAACTAAGCGTAGCCAGTTGGATAAATTGTGTGATGAACTGATTCGTCAAGGTAGAGCTGTAGGAATGGTTCTACGAAACCCAGCTGGTATAGTTGACCTTGACACTGGAGACTTCAGGCTTGTAAAATCGAAAATAATCAATCTGTTCAAAGAATGGAAAGAGAAGCATGCTGAGCTGGTGGTGGTTGTCTTACCCGATCGAGGTGGTCAATATTACAGTAAGTGACTTAATTTAATTATTTAAGCTTGTTTAATAGTTTTATTGTACCTATCTCAGTTTTATAATCAGAGCTGCCTCTTGAAAAATATTTCATACATGCTCACTCACTCGCATAATACACAGTTTTTTTAATGAAATGCACCACATTAGCACTGTCAATATTTTTAACCTTTTTCACTGTCAACATGATTTTTTTTAATATTAGCCATATTTTTAATGTTGCTCAAAGAAAAATCAAAATTTGCCCTGATTTTCTCATGAGTTTATGCCCCTCTAAAATTTTGTGCTCCCGCTGAGTGTGCCCTCAAGTTAGAATTATGACAACAGATTTCTCATCAAATGAGGATGTATGAAGCACTTTAACTGAAAAATCACCTAAAAATGTCTCCTATACAACTTGAATTTTTGACCCTTGTTATGCAGGTCTATCAACACCAGGAATCATGAGTCGAGCAAGGGTTTGCTGAAAAAAAACTTGTTTTCTGAAATCCCCTAGGTTAAATTGCCTTACGTATATGAAAAACGTCATTGCTGAATGAGTTTCTATTATTACCTCCTTCGTTTTCCTATTTTATCTGTCAATCAGAAACTAAGTCCTCTTGTATTTTTCCAGGTATGGTGAAACAATGCGCTGAGCTCAACGTGGGAATTTTAACTCAATGTCTCAAGTCATCAACAGTGCAAAAAAGAGTCAATCCTGCTACCTGCAAAAACATTTTATCGAAACTCAATGCCAAAACTAATGGTGTGAATCACATAGTTCCTGCTATTCACAGACCCCCTGTCCTTCAGGATCCTGTCATGTTTGTTGGAATTGATGTCACCCATCCATCGCCGGACCAAACCTCCATCCCGTCCGTAGCAGCGGTTTCAGCATCTCACGATGCCAAAGCTTTTCAGTACAATATGATCTGGCGACTACAGAATCCACGTGAAGAAATTGTCCGTGATCTGAAGAATATCATAAAAGAGCAATTGGGGTTCTTCCATAAGAAAACTGGATACAAGCCTGAGAAAATAATTGTGTATCGTGATGGAGTAGGTGAAGGCATGTTTCAACAGGTTAGCTTTTATAGTACGAAGCTGGTTTGAATATTCACAGTGTATCAGTGGCGTGCGGTCCAGGCAAGCACTGCTTGCCCAAAGATTTCAAAAGAAAGGAGAAAATTACACCTATTACATGTTTTACATTTTAGCAAATATAATTTATAAAAGGTGTTTAGTAAGTAAATTGCATTAACAACAGAAAGAGAGAGAGACAGAAATACGTATAGAGCCACTAAAAAGTAGGAAAGTGGCAGAGCGGATGGAGGTGGCGCAGCGCGCTGTGCGGCCTGAATACGGGCCAACTCATGCGCTGGAGAATCGCTTACGATCAGCTGAGGGGAGAGCCACTGCTCGGCGGCGGAATCAAGGCAGGCGGGGAGAGCGGTTCATTCCAAGTCCGAGCCCTTCGCTGCGCGATCGCAGCTTGCTTCTCTCAGATCCATCAGATTTCATCCGAAAAATAGAGCCAAGAGAGTAAAAGTTTAAGAATTTTCTAGGGAGGCTCCCTGAAGAGGGGAAAGAGGCTATGTTAACCCCCCCTCCCCCCAACGGCGAACGCTAGAGCTTGCCCTGTCACTAAACCCACCGCACGCCACTGCAGTGTATGATTGTCTGATCTGGCAATTCAAGCGAGCCATCCAATGGGTTGTTCCTATGATGAAACTATCTCCTTAATTCAGATAAAATTTAGCAAAAGAGAACTAACACAGTCACAGTGTTGTACAATTTGTATGTCTTCATCTTCACCAAAAGAGTGTCTAGAATTACAATTTTTTTTTTTTATTTTTTCACGGATAAAGTGTTAATTTTAAAGGGAAACAATCCTATACATTTTGTTATTGTACATGTATACATTTAGTATTTTTTAAGCAAAGAAGAAGTTGGAAGATTTTAAAACACTGTAATCGCGATGGTTCCCTTCTGCTGAATGCGTTCCATTTCATTCCAAGAGACATGTAGATGGTATTATAGTTGTTGAAGGTTTGTACATTCTTCAAAAGTACAGTCTTCAGTTTAAATTAAGATTCATGTTCCTAAAAATTGGAAGTTTTGGAGTCGCATTTGTGATAATACCGTGCACCTCTAAACTCACAAGAAGGCGTAGATACGTATTGAAAAACAACCTGTAAAATACTCAGGTATCATTTACCTGTTTCAATAATGATGTAAAAAATATAACTGATTTCACTTTAAATAATTTCTATTCAATTGCCTCGTGATCTGTGATCCTAGAACAATGTTTTCACTCACCTATAATCAATATCAAGTTTGATAGGTGGGCATAAATCCAAAGTTCTAAAAAATGTGTAAGAATTAACTTGCATATTAACTGTTTCATTCAACTATAATTATAATTGAATAAAACAGTTTTTATGTAAGTTACTTCTTGCACATTTTCTCGCACATTGTCTATGTACCCACCTATCAAGTTAATTAAGTGCTTCCACCAGTATGTTACAAAATAATAATATCAAGTTTTTACTTCACAGATTCTGAATAAAGCCCTAAATTTGTTTATTATTTTATAAGTATTGTGGGTGTAGTTTTTCAATGGTATCAAGGATCCTGATTATCAATCAGTGCATCTTATAATCTTTTCATTATTTTCCAGGTCTTGGCAGCAGAGTTAACCGCCATCAGAGAAGCCTGCAAAGAAATGCCAGGGGAAGATTACAAGCCTGGTATTACATTTTTGGTTGTCCAAAAGCGCCACCATGTCCGTTTTTTCCCAAGACAGGATATTGCAGATCAGAAAACTGGAAATGTGCCACCAGGCACGATCGTAGATACAGATATCACTCACCCAAGAGAACTAGATTTCTACTTGGTGTCTCATGCAAGTTTGCAGGTAATTTTTTGTTTCTCATACATTTTATTTAAGTTGAGAAGGGAAGACACTTTTTTGAACCAACCAATGAAAATGTTCAGTTGCAACTGCTCTCATTTTTTCAATAGTTCTGCACTGTAAAACCACCAACGATTTTACTTTTATGGATTATTTATGTACTCAAATTTAGCTCAGACTTTTGAATTATTTTTAAGAAAAAAAAAAAAAAATTGGTGTTTTTAAAATATAGGAACACACAATACACTAATTTTTGTCACATGTCATTCATGTCGCGTTAAAAGTTGGCATTGATTCTGTTGATTATTATGAAAATATTCAAGTACAGAAATTTTCAGAAAAAAAATTACATCTTGAATGGTAGTTATGTCTTATAAATAAGCCTACAAAATCTATCTTCTTTTTCTGATTGTGTGCCTATGTCTCCTGAGTAAGAGAGTAGTAGCAATTTCTACTGAATGATTGTTTTTTTTTCACTCTTGTTTTCTCTCTTTTCATTAAAGGGTACAGCCAGACCCACAAAATACCACAGACTTTGGGATGATAATGATATTCTCGAGGATGAATTGGAGAAGTTGACGTATTATTTGTGCTACTTGTTCACTCGTTGCACTCGCTCAGTTTCGTACCCAGCGCCTACATACTATGCTCATCTTGCAGCCTTCAGAGCTAGAGCATATTTAGAGAAGTAAGTTAATAAGTTACTAGTTTCATCTTTAAGAGTAGGAAAATCTAGTAACTTATTCATACATAAACATAATGCACCATTATAATAATTTGGAGAAATAATAAAGAATACTCACAAGACCCTCAAGTTTTTGTGACTATCAAAATTTATCAATATTTTTCTGCTCCTCATTTCATCGGATACCTACCATTGTTGGGAATGGATATAGTTCCTTTTGATATAAATACGTTAATTTACTAGACAGTCAGGTCCCGGGTTTGATTCTCGGCCAGGTGACCTGAGTTTGATGGTCTCAGTCAATGGTCACCTGGGGCTGGTGGTAAGCGTGGGATTAGCCAATAGGGGCTATTTGAAACTTGTTTAGAAGAAAAAAAAAGGGGGAAAAAGTCAGCTGGCTTTTCATTTGTGTTCAACACAGGAAAAATTAATTTTATAAAAATATAGTATATGTTTGGTAACTGTCGGAAACATCTTGTCTTTACATTCATTATTGGCATCATTCTAACTTAAAAATGTATTTTCTTGATTTCAGCAACCCATTTCGTCTGCAGGAATTAGAGGAGTTCGCAAAAAAGAACAAGATAGAGGAAAACTTTTTGATGGCGTCACCAATGTTCTTCGTCTAAATATTACCTCTGACTTCAACTTTATCCCAAAATATTAATCCAAATTTCAATTGATGTTACTTTATCCCATTATATTAATCCAAATTATACTTGATGTTATTTTATACCATCATATTAATCCGTTTAATGGATGTTACTTTATGATCCAAATTTTAATTGAAATTAATTTGTTATACCCCAATAATTTAATATTCTTTACTCAATATAATTTTTATGCCTTTGATGACTTTGCTTTGAAGTTCATTCATCTGCCATTCCTTTAAACCTCTGGAAACCTGTTGCAGGTGCAGTTTTGCCAAGAATTTTTGTTTGTAATTTTCCATGTTAATGGGAAAAGGACCCTCATAAGGCTAAATTTAATGAAATTGCAGCAAGTTGCATCTTCATCAAAAGACTCAATTTTACGAACAATTTTAAATTACTGTTTTCATATTCAAAATATTTCTTCATACCTTTGAAATTTTGACAGGAGAAAATTTCTCAAAAGTGTACTATGAAATGATACCTAATGTGTAATCTTGGTGTTGTGGTCAAATGGGAAGGGGGTAAATTTTCAAAGGACGATTTGTTTGAGTCGGCAGGAAAATCAGATTTTGTCCCTCCAGTGTCCTGAGGAATAATTAGGAAGGAGCTCAGTTCATTTTTGTGCCACAGTAGAGCTGGGGCATGAAATTAATCATAATTCCGAAAGAGCCTGCCAGTAAGAGGGCCTTTTTGTTCCCTTTTTTGGAAATGCAAGGATTTCGTTCAAATCTGTTATTTTCTGGGGCACAATTTCATCAGCTGATGTTGCTCAGCGATGAAGACTGTTGTTGAAACTGATCTAGCGATCAGTCATGATACAGCATCGCAAATTACATACAAGGTGTCCCAGACTTCGTGTGTCAGGTTTTTTTCCTCGGTTATTTTAGGTTTTTTGAGATCTGGGATTAGGGGACAGAACGGAGAAGGGATC